TTGATGACGGCTAAAAACCAACAGAATGGGATGGTTCAGTTGGCATGGCCTGTATGCTGATCGGACAGCATCCAAGCCACAAGACTCAAGCTTTCGGATTGGAACTTTTCACGGCCTTTTAGGATCCCGATCAAAATATTTTGCACATCCTGAATCCCAAGCAAAGGACTCGGCTTCACCAAACCAAACAGCCGCCTGAGAACCGCGAGAACCGCCAATTTACTACAACTACCCATTATACTATAGTAGTTTCCATTTTCTATTCCGTTATTCTTATAATATAGCCCCAATATACTATAGTGGTTTCCATTTTCTTTTCCATTATATGAACCCTATATAGCCCTATATAACCCATTATAGTAGTTTCCATTTTCTTTTCCATTTATCCCTATTGTAGCCCCAATATACCTAGCAGCAGGAAGCAGAAGTTGACGCGCTGCCAGTGGTGGACTCAGCAACTACTGTACCCTAAGGGTCCAAGGACCCAAATAATAGGGTTTTAGGGCCCAAATACCATTAATATTATAGTATTTGGGCCCTAAAACCCCATTATTTGGGTCCTTGGACATTTAGGGGTATCTTGCTGGCTTGCTCTCACCATTCATATTCTGTCGGTCGCCCGTTCTGTCATTCTACAGTCTGAGTAAATTGCGTGCTAGTCGTGGTCTTGTGACTGATGGCTGATGCTGCTCCAAAGACGCAATCACGGGCTGCCATTGTGGCTGGAAAGTGCCTAGGATGTAGAAAGGCCGATGATGTTGCCGTTTGCAAAACTCACAGCAAGTGTTTCCAGAACAAATCACATGCCGGAGGTTTCCAGGAGACAGTGAATGGAGTTTGCTTCAATGGTTTATTCGGACTGGGCCAGATCTTGGAAGACTGTTTTTGTTTTGGCAACGACAGCAAAAACGACCACCGCCGCCGCCATCGTCACCAGCACCAGCAGTTGTCATGAATCTACAGCGGACAGCATGACGGTGCTCTGATTCACAAAGCTTGTTGAAATTACCATGGCACGTCAGCACAGGCACGCAAAGATATATATATATATATATCAACGATCCCACAACCCATAGCCCCGCAATCTGTGCCCTTCTACTCGACTCCTGCCTGGCAGGCTTTATGAGCACATGTTCCGGCGCGTTTTTCAGAGCGCGACTCCTAGCTGGCAAAATCCTGAAAGTTGATGCTTGTGTTGAAAGCGGTGATCGCTTCTTACATCCCGAATCCATCGGCACCTGACTTGCTTAGTTCGAAACAGCCACCCCAAACAGGTATGTTTCAGAGCAGCCCTGCCCAGCCACCCAAAATGGGCCTCGTGAAGCATCAGTCAACCAGAGACCCGCGACTCGACTTTTAAGTTGCCCCACCCAAACAAGATGCTCCCTCGATCCGAGCTCCCACCTGAGGCTATCAAGCCCTGAAGTCTCATGACAGCAGCGCCTTCGCAGAGTTCGGGTCCTTAGCTGCCTTCAGTCATAGCATGTCATAGCTACCCTACTGATTCCCTCTTCTACTTCAGCAAGTCCTCCGGCTCGAGGTTGCAGAAGCAGGGCCTTCCTATGGCCTGTGCTGAGCTGGCCTACGAAGCTCTAGGCAGCTCCTGGTACGATTTCGCAACCTGCTTACAGTTTATCAGACGTAGTTCTGGAAGTGTTTGCTCTCATCTCACTAAGTGTTGGAGGAGAAAGAATGCAACCACAAATTGAAAAAGTCTTCCTCTTGGGAAGTATTCAGGACATTCACTGAAAACATTTCTCCAGCGAGGCAGAACTAGAGCAAGGGTTGTGAAATTTTTGGGGCCGAGGTGACGTTGTCAAGGAACAAGTGAGGCCTTCAACAGTTCCCCTGTTGTCACAGCCAGCCTTTGCAGGACACAGACCGTGCCAGGAAAAACTCAAACTTCCGTCTTACTAGAGCCTGATCAGTGCCGCCTAGGTTTCAAGACATGCCAACATCATGTATGTGTTGATCCTTGAGGTTCTAGAGCGCAATGCATACTGCTTGATCTCAAACTGCTGTCTCTTGTTGAGGAGTTTTTCTTAGCAGCGCATCCTATTTTGGGACCTTTGCTGAAGACCAAGATTTACGACAATGAGGAATCTACATGTGGGAGTGTAGTGGGATGCCTGATCATCTCAGTGGATGCCAACTGGTGACTGGCTCCTCCGAGGGAATGGAACGGGGTGCTTGCATTATTAGGCTCCAACCATTATCATGTTGCGGGCTTCTCACATGTGCTGATCAAATAAGTATGTGTGGTGATGCATGTGAGCTCAAAGTTGTAAGCTCATTCGCAAAACAGGCCGCAACAGTCGTGCCATCAGGTCGCATGAGTCAAGACCTCAGAAAGCCTTGTGCTAGGTATGATACAGGCCACCTGAATGCGGGCACCCTAATTTCAAAACCATCCTTTGAAAGCACTCTTACACCTGATGTTTTAAGCCGCGCTCGTCCTCTCTCCTCAAGCTCTTCTCCAGATTCAAGTTGTTACTGCACCCTCAATGCTTTTAATGCTGCCTGTTCCTCATTCTTTCTGCTGCTCGTACTAGTACGAATACTACTATTGTTTATTATGATTACAAGTAGTCTGCTGTTGCTGTTGATACTGGTTTTGCTGGCCCCATTACACCTTCTTCAACTTCCACTGCTTCACAGCATTCTCACGGCCACATACTTAATTTGCTGCAAAGCAGCGTCTACATAAATTCTGCTGCTGTTAACCCTCAACCTGACTGTGTTGAACACTGAATCCTGAACCCTAAGCTCTATACACCCCGAATTTCCGAATTTTTCAACCCTGAATCATGGACCCTAAACTTACTGGTTGTTAGTAGGGAATACGTGAATATNNATTCCCTACTAACCCCCAGGAAGCTAAATAGATGTTGCCACAACCCTCAAACATTGATAGTAATAGTAGTAGCAAGGGTAATAGTAGTACTAGAAGTAAGACTGGTAGTGATAGGTAACGATAGGTAATAATGGGTAAATTACCCAAACCCGCAACCTTCAACCCCCAACCTCCAATTTTCAATAGAAGGAACCGTTCCTTTTTAGTTCTGAGAAGCCCCAATCGGAACAAATGTGGGATGCCTAATAGTGCCTAATAGCTGCTAATAGCTCCTAGTAGCGCAAATAGCTTGGGACACTATCAGTAGCCGACAGCTACTATTGACGACTAATAGCTGCTAGGTGGTTGCTGAAAGGGGGCTGAAAGGGGAGGGGGGGGGGGGGGGNNGGGGGTTGTGAATATACACATGAGTAGTAATTGGTAATGATAGTTATACTTAGTAATAGTAGTAAAAATTGGTAAGAATAGCAATAATTGGCAGGAATGGTAATAATTGGTAAGAATAGTAGAAATTGGTAAGAGTAGTAATAATAGATATCATAGACATAGTAGTAATGATAGTTATAAAAGTATATAGTGATAATAGTTCATACCAGCAAAAAAGTAAGAATTGGTAGGAACAGTAATGTTTGGTAGGAATAGTTATAGTTGGTAAGAATAGTACTGACAAGTAATACTAGTCAGAATAGGTAAGAATTGTAGTAGTAGTAGTAGTAGT